ATAAGCTTGTGAAGTAATATATACATAGCAATGCCATACAAATAGTTAAGAGAAGCCAACATGGTCTACTGTTGAGTTAAATTACTGTATATATATATATATATATATATATCTGTATCTTATCATAAACTTCATTGATAAAAGTTGTGTTATTCAATGAATAAATATAATCAAAGTCAAAATAAAAAAAAATCGAAAATTCTTGTAAAATATGTACAGATTACATTAATTTAACCCTATCCAGATGGGTCATGGGTCAAAGGCCATGTCATCGCATTTGTTGACTCACATTCAAAATTTTATTGAACTACTATTCCATGAATTTGTCAAAAAGTTCGGTATCAAATTTTAGTATTATACATTATTTAATTTTTTAATTTAAAAGTAAATATAAAAAAAACAATTAAACGTCGATTTTTGTGTGTCACGTGGTATGCAGCACTGGTTCAAAATACAAAGTCTACAGTTTCGTATGTATTAGGAACTCAAATTACTGATATTGACAAGCTAGAATATAAAATAAGAACCTCATCTTTTCTATTTGCTGAGATATACTCATGTAGTGAATCAAATACAGTGGCCCCACTCACCTCTTTCCATTTTTGGAAACGGTCCCTTATATACACTTACTTCAATATATGACATGTGAATAACCAATCGAAACCTCAGAATTTCTCCCTAGTGGTTTTCTCAGCCATTTTCATGTGCCATCTCCTTTTTTTCAAAACAAGATTTCAAGGAGGTAGGTTGTGTCTTTAGTCTGCTCAAAATTTTATATTTTTTTAGTACCCAAATACAGCTTAGTTACTAAGCTTGATAAAATTATAGCGGAATTTTATGTTATCAATATAGTAATTTATGATTTTTATAATTATTCAACTGTATATATATATATATAAAACCTGAAAAAAAATTATTTCCTTTCATATCCTCCATGTGCAAAATTTTATAAGGCTTAGCAATCTACGTCAAGCAGCAACAGAGTACAAAGGTCATAACTAGAAAAGAGAATTGTTTGCTTTATTTCTTTATTTACTGTTCTATGTTTTAAGAAAAATAAGTTTAAGAACTTATTTCTAAATAGTAATAATGTGTAATAATGGAAATGTGACTGTAT